CTCACTCTTGAGAATCCACTTGAATTGTGGCAAGCGCTGAAAAAGCGATATGACCATCAGAAAATGCTCCAGTTGCCTCAGGCAGATTTCGACTGGAAGAACCTTCGGTTCCAGGACTACAAATCCGTAGATGATTACAACAATGAACTCTTTCGTATTGTTGCCATCCGGAAACTCTGTGGCGAGGATGTGACAGATAATGATCTCCTCGAGAAAACATTATCCACATTCAGCACAGAGAATGTTGTGCTCCAACAACAATACCGTGCAATGAAACACACATTGTACGAAGACTTGTTGTCCTGTCTTCTCCTCGCTGAGAAGAATAACCAGCTGCTTATGAGGAACAGCGCTATGAGGCCCCCGGGATCGGCTCCTGTCCCAGCTTCTCGTCAAGAGTCCTACCATGTTCAACCCGATAGATCCTCAGATCACCGCCGTGGACGTGGTAATGGACGTGGTAATGGCCGAGGACATGGACGTGGAAGACGTGGACGCGGACATGGTCGTGGCAACCGACCTAACCTCAGTTATGGTCCTGGTCGTGGTCGAGGCATCACCAAGCCGACCCGCTACACCAACCCCGATCACTCTGCTTGTACCAGATGTGGGATGTTCAACCACCCAACAAAGCAATGTCGCACCCCCAAGATCCACTGCGATCTATACCAGAAGTACGGAAAAGCTCCTGCTGAAGCCAACATGACTCAGCCAGTCGATGCTGCTAACCTGGAAGGTGACGACCTCCTTGATGATGAGAACACCACAAACGAGCAGACCGACCCCATGGACTATGAAACAGCTGATCTCCTCGATTAATTCAATCATCTGAAACTCTGATACAATTTGATTTTGTTCTTTATTTTTTTTCATTTTGGGATTTGTTTCATTTTTTTCCATTTGCCTTTATTCTCAGACACTGCTTTACTTTATGATTTATCACATTTTCTGAATTCCTCAATACTGAATTCTATCTTCTATTCATAATGAAGCACACCAGCAAATGGAAACCATAGTCGTAGATAGTGGATCCAGCCACACTATCTTAAGAAACAAAAGTTACTTCATAAACCTAACCTATCAAACCGCAAATATTAGCACCATCACGGGTCCCTCAAACCTTATCGAAGGATATGGCCATGCCTATGTGTTGCTATCAAATGGCACACAACTTGAAATACCAGATGCTCTATATTCTCCTAGTTCGAAGAGAAATCTTCTGAGCTTCAAGGATATAAGACAGAATGGTTTCCACATAGAAACCCAAGGTCAAGGGAACAAAGAATCCCTCCTAGTCACTAAAACCGTAGACGGCCATAAACAAATCCTCGAAACCATACCCGCGCTCTCTACTGGACTTTACCATGCTAAAGTCAGTATGATTGAAGCTAATACCACTCTCAAAGCCCGGTTTACTGATTATACTATTTGGCACGACCGGCTCGGTCATCCCGGTGCAAATATGATGCGTAAACTAATTCAAAACTCTCAAGGGCATACCCTCAAAGAAAACCGAGCTTATCCTCAACACCTCATGTGCACAGCTTGTTCTCAAGGCAAATTGATCACTCGGCCTTCACCAGTTAAAATCTCTAAACAAACACTTCATTTCCTAGAAAGAATCCAGGGCGATATCTATGGACCTATACATCCATGTTCCGGACCATTCCGGTACTTCATGGTCCTTATAGACGCATCGACCCGTTGGTCATATGTTTGTCTCTTGTCCTCTCGGAACCAAGCCTTCGCTAGGTTCTTGGCCCAAATCATCAAATTGCGGGCCCATTTCCCTGACTTCCCACTAAAGACTATCCGCCTTGACAATGCTGGTGAATTTACCTCACAAGCGTTTAATGACTACTGTATGGCCATGGGGGTAACCGTGGAACATCCTGTAGCACATGTCCATACTCAAAATGGATTGGCTGAATCATTCATTAAACGCATTCAATGGATAGCCCGACCATTACTCATGAGATCAAAGCTCCCGGCCTCAGCATGGGGACATGCAGTATTACATGCTGCTGAACTCATACGCATCCGGCCATCTAGTGAACACAAATATTCCCCATCCCAACTACTCTCGGGTCATGAGCCAGACATCTCCCATCTCAAAACATTTGGGTGTTCAGTATATGTACCCATTGCTCCACCACATCGAACCAAAATGGGACCTCAAAGAAGGATGGGAATATATGTTGGTTTTGACTCTCCCACCATCATAAGATATCTCGAGCCAACCACTGGAGATCTCTTCAAGGCCAGATATGCGGATTGCCAATTCGATGAATCGGTATATCCCTCTTTAGGTGGTGAGACAAACAAGCTGGTCAAAGATCTTTCATGGAATCAAACATCATTAAATTGGCAAGATCCTCGGACTCTAGAATGTGATTCAGAGATCCAAAAGATTATTCATTATCAAAAGCTAGCTAATCAATTGCCAGATTCCTTTGCTGACCCGACCAAAGTAACCAAATCGTACATCCCAGCTTGTAATGCACCAGTACGAATAGCTGTCCCAACGGGACAGACCCAAGTTGCTACAGAGTCTGCACCACGTCTCAAACGGAGCAGACCTCTCGGTTCCAAAGATAAGAATCCCCGGAAATCAAAGAAAGGTGCAATAACCGAAACCGGGATTCCTGCAATATCAGACATAGCCGCGGCTGAGACTCAATCTAATGAACCCTCAATGGAAGTTCGGGACGCCGAATCTCCAGGTTCAGAAGATAACAATGAGATCTCCATCAATTACAATATGTCCGGAATACAATGGAATCGAAAAGAAGTCGACTTAAATGCACTCTTTGCATACAAAGTAGCACTTGATGTTGCGCTCACGCAAGAGGATCTAGAACCCACGTCAATAACACAGTGTACACATCGAACAGATTGGCTAAAATGGAAAGAAGCCATAAACATGGAGTTAAAGAGTCTCAAACTCAGAAACGTGTTCGGTCCGATCATCCGGACCCCATCACACATCAAGCCAGTGGGCCACAAATGGGTCTTTGTGCGCAAAAGGAACGAACTCGGTGAAGTCGTTCGATACAAAGCACGGCTTGTAGCACAAGGATTCTCACAGAGACCCGGAATCGATTATGAGGAGACTTATTCTCCAGTGGTGGATGCAACAACATTCTGATTCCTCATAAGTCTGGCCATAAGAGAAAATCTTGATCTGCGGTTAATGGATGTTGTAACCGCATATCTCTATGGGCCCCTGGACAACGAAATATATATGAGACTCCCAGATGGCATTGAACTAAAAGACAAAAATGCATCTCGAGATCAATACTGCATCAGGCTGAACAAATCCTTGTATGGACTGAAACAAAGTGGGCGTATGTGGTACAACCGCCTCAGCGATTACCTCATCAAAGAAGGCTACAAAAATGACCCCATCAGTCCATGCATCTTCATCAAGAAGTACTCAAACAAAGGATTTGTAATCATAGCAGTATACGTGGATGATCTAAACATCCTCGGAACATCTGGTGAGATCTCCCAAACAGTCGACTGCTTAAAAGCAGAATTCGAAATGAAAGACCTAGGCAAAACAAAGTACTGTTTGGGATTACAACTTGAGTACATCAAAGGAGGAATCCTTGTGCATCAATCGGCTTATATCGAAAAGGTACTCAAGCGATTTAATATGGACCAAGCTCACCCATTGACCAGCCCAATGGTAGTTAGAAGCTTAAGTGATGACCCTCTTGGTCCCAAAAAGGATGATGAAGAAATCCTTGGTCCTGAAAAGCCATACCTCAGTGCTGTAGGAGCGTTAATGTACCTGGCTAGTCACACTAGACCAGACATATGTTTCGCCGTGAACCTCCTCGCTCGATATAGTTCATCTCCAACTCAGAGGCACTGGAACGGTATAAAACATCTCCTAAGATACCTTCGAGGTACTCAAGACTTAGGACTCTTCTATACTAACCAAAATAAAGATGGGTTAGTCGGCTTCGCCGATGCAGGATATCTATCAGATCCGCACACTGCCAAGTCTCAAACTGGCTACGTTTTTACGCATGGAGGAACAGCCATCTCTTGGAGATCAATGAAGCAGACACTCACTGCCACTTCATCAAACCATGCTGAAATCCTAGCCATTCATGAGGCTAGTAGGGAATGCGTCTGGCTGCGCTCCATGACTCAGCACATCCGCAGAGATTGTGGTATGGACGAAGACACACAGCCCACGGTGATGTATGAAGACAACGCGGCATGCATAGCTCAGCTCAAGGAAGGATATATCAAAGGAGATCGGACGAAGCACATTCTACCGAAGTTCTTCTCAACCTCAGACTGGCAGAAGGACGGCACTCTCAGCGTTCAGCAGGTCCGATCCAGTGAGAATTCAGCTGACCTCTTCACCAAATCATTGCCTACTTCAACACACCGGAAGCTCGTCAAACAGATAGGAATATATAGACTTAGAGATCTGCAGTGATGCTACAATCAGGGGGAGTAATGCGTGTTGTACTCTTTTTCCTTCACCATGGTTTTGTCCCACTGGGTTTTTCCTGGTAAGGTTTTAATGAGGCAACATTCCCCAGCGCATTATCGAGATCCCGATTGAGTAGCTGGCCCGGTTCACTCGTCCAAGGGGGAGTGTTATAACACATATCATATATGGACTCTTATACCGGCCCATTAGACCCATCAGGGCATTGTACTTAACCTAAATTCCCTATGTACTCTATATATACATTCCAGTGATTAATAAAGTTTCTAAGTTTTCACAACAAATATGCTTTTACTCTTAATTCAGTTAGATTTAATTTAGTTTTTTTCCGGTTTCTGTGTAATTTTTCCAAGCATAATAAAAACACCAACTAATTGTTAAATCCATAAAACTGATATAGACCAAAAATATATACAGTATGGTGGATGTGGCATTCTAGAAGCATGTTCCACTTCCCTCCTTGTCCTCCACCATCTCACACTTCGAAAAATAAAAATAAAAATGATTTGAAATCAAAAATGGAAAAACGAAATTTCCAATAGTACCCTTCGTTCCCACATGTTTCCCTATTTTCTTCCCAGAAAAACCAGATCCACCCAACCTCCTTCCTCCTCTTTCTTCTGTTCTCCGAAGAACACAACAAACCAACGAATCTATGTTGGACATGTCGGAATCTTTACTAACGGCGATGTACAGTTGGTTCACACCGACAGTACTCTTCGTCTTCCTCAACCTAATGATTGGTACCATTGCAATTAGCTCCTCTTTATCTTCCAAATCAAACGATCCAAATCAAACTCAGATCCAACGCTCTCCTTCCGTTATTCACCGTCTCAAATCCATAAACTTCTCCTCCTTCACTTCACCAGACAAATCTCATCTCGAGTTTCCTTCTTCGACAACTTCTGACAATAACATCAACAACAACAACGAACTCGCTTCGATCGAACAGAATCAGCCTTTTCTCTCTAGATCTCCTTCTGTTCTTCACCGAATCAAGTCTTTCAATCTATACAACTACATTTCTCAAGAACCCACCACCGTCGCTGAATCTCCGCCGCCAACGGTGACCGTCAACGCAAAACAAGAAGAAGAACTAGTAGAAGAAGAAGAGACAAGCCCGAGTCTTGAAGAGGTTTACAGTAAGCTGAATCTGAACCACGTGGCTCGGACGAAATCTGACACCGAGCCAGCTGCAGGAATCATCCCACCGAAACTTCCCAAGAAGATGAAGAAATCAGCGAGTACCAAATCTCCTTTCTCTCACTTCGTGGAAGACGAAATCTCTGTCGAGGCTCGTCGGCCGGAGACTGTTAGAGTGACGAAAGTGACGACGGTTGAAGAAGCTGATGAAGAAGTTGACGCGAAGGCTGATGATTTCATCAATCGTTTCAAGCATCAATTGAAGTTGCAGAGGATCGATTCAATCGCTAAGTACAAGGGGATGGTGAAGAAAAGAAACGACAAGTGAAAATTGAAAGCAAAAAACAAACAAACAAACAAAACTTATGGGTTTGTTTCTTAATTATGTATTAATTTGTGGACTTGTTTTTTGAAAATTCTTAATTTTGTTAGGATTTCGTCTTCCTCGACTGCAAGTTTCACTGTATATTTTTCCACGGAACTGTTTCCTTTTTCTTCCTGACGAGATAAAAAATTGCGAAAAAATTTCTAGAATCTTCATCTTTATACATCGGACAAATTGGAAACGAATGTAGATTTATTGAAGAATCTTCTTGTAGATCTCATTTATGGTGAGAATGGTCGTCACTCACGACTGGATTTGGATTCAGGGGTTGTTTCGTCATTTTCATTTAGAAGCAGTCCCCCACTATTTTCTGTTGAAACAGAAGAGCAATATTGCGTCTAGTAATTACGAAAATCAATGGGAACACAGTTTTCCGTTATTTAAAATGATTATTTTTTGCTCGGTTAATCAATTTCGTCGGGTCTTCATTTTTTGAAGGCCTTCAATAGTTTGTTTCTTAGTTTTCAGCTTAGCTCCGGTGTTTTCATTTTTTTTAGGTTTGTCCTAGGAACGTTTTGTCCAGCGATTCTTTTTCTATAGCTCTGTCTTTCTTTCTTTTTTTTTTGAACAAAACTCTGTCTTTCTTGTTTGTGTAAAAAAAAATTCCTCCTTAGTGAGGCTTTGTCTCTTGTATTTCTTAGCTAATTTAGTTGGAATTTATAGGTTGTGTCTCCGAGTTTCCGAGCTAAAGCCTATAAATTCTATAGATTCTATGTTACATTGTTTCCCCTTAGAGAATCACCTAACATTTATTAGTGTTTGTAACTTTTTAATGTATTTTATATTTATTTATGAAAGTTTTATTACAATAGTTAATAATTATAAATATTGAGGATCATAATACAAAAAAAGATGTCTGTTCTAAATTTGGTGTGAAAAGAGTGTTTGGTTTGAAAAGATGTCTAGTCTAGTTCGTAGAGACATCTTGTTCTCTAAGTACATCTGACACTATTAGAATGCAACTGGTATGTTTGATATGAGAAACGCATGGTACTGGTACATCTAACACAGTAAAAGCACATGTTATATATTTATAGAAAAGTAGAAGTCAGATATATTTGGCACCATGATGGTGCATTTGGTACATATCGTACATTCTCGAGAAAAAGAGAAGTCCGGCATATCTGGTACTGTGATGGTGCATCTAATACATTTATCTAGATGATTCAAGTCAATGTGGAAATTTGTTAAAATGCATGTAATCCTGAAGCGTAGAAGCTTATTGGAGGATTCAAGTTAAGGTGGAGATTTGTTGATATGCCTTGAATCCTGAAATGTAAAAACTTCTTGGTGTTGATCCATGCAGGCTGCACGATCAAACATGCAGGATGCTTGCAGTGTGTTAAAGGCTACATGCTGCATCTTGAAGTTTACACACTGCATGTCGAAGCTTACACGCTACACGTTGAAGCTTACAAGTTGCACGTTGAAGTTTACAGTTTGTTTGAGAAAAAGATTGAGTGCAATGTCCTGCATAGTGAAGCTTGCAAGCTACTAGAGCTGATGTTGAGATCTACATGTTGTGTAAGTTGATGTCGAAGACTACAATCTGCGTGAGCAATGTATAAGTCAGCATGCATTTGAGTTGCCGTTTTTAATTGAAGGTTCCTACATAGGCCTAAGTGAGCAAGTCCAATTGTGATTAGAGTTAACTAGGGTTTTCTGCTATAAGTAACCATGTTCTCCTAATTTCTGATAAAATCTGAAACTTTCTGTTTCCATACTAAAATCAGTCTCCTTTGCCCATGGACATGGCCAAAACATCGTTGATAAATCACGTTAATTTTGTGTGTGATCTTTACGTCTATTGTTTTCTTCTTGTATATGTTACAATACTATCATTTAAATTTTATATATTATGAATAAAATGGTAGGCTCTGCCTCCTCAAAATCTATGGTAGGCTTTGCTTCGTCTTTTATATGGTAGACTATGTCTCCTCAATTGTTTTTAAAATTATTGTTTTCCTTTATGTCGTTATTATGCTGAAAATTATACCGCAGTTTTTTTTATTGTTTTTTAAGTAAAATCTAAAAGGTGTTTTTACCCAGTTGATAATTAAAATTTTGTTAAATAGTTATCATGTCAAATTTGGCAAAGCTCGAGATCCTTGTCTTTGATGTGTCTGGGAAGAATTACATATCATGGGCAGTAGGTGAAAAATGCATCGGGAACATGCTTCTCAATACTATCGACAAGTCAGAAACCAATACAAACACAGGACTATCACAAGGCTTGTAGGATCTCAGAAGCAAAATCTGGTTAAACGGCTAAGGGATGATTTAATGGTTTAGCTTCTCTAACCAGAATAATCAATTGAAAGTGATCAAGTAACAAAGATGGATTGAAGTAGTTTTGAAAGATTTGTGATACAACACAAAACTCTGATCTAGGAGGTATTGGTCTCGACTAGAAAAAAGAGATTAAACAAATTTCTTTGCTGAAAAAACTTAGTTTGAAGAAAAATTTATTTTATCGATATGACAAAAGGTTAAGTGTTACACGACCCTAAAGAGACTTATACAATTTCTAAGTGGCTTAGACTCAAAGAAAAAAAAAAGTAATCAATGCAATATGACTCGGGAATTGAAAATGCGACATGAAAGGAAAAATAAAAGGAAACAAATTCAATCTACTAGCTTAATCTATGCTAAATAATTCTCGACAAAGAAACACAAGAAACCAAAGAAAAAGGTTAGTCAAAGAAATTGAAATAATTGAAGGACTCAGCTTACTTGCTTAGGTGAGATTGGTGTGTGTCTGGATTGCCTTTGACCGATCTTGAATCTTCCCTCTTAGATGTCTTGATTCATCCTTGAAACAATGAACACTTAAACATGGGGCGTGGCTTGGTAAAAGAGGCCAGGAGTCTTGCTTCTTTGGGCTGTTTGATGGTGTTGGATAATCTTTAAGTGGCTCAGTCCAAACTTCTAGGCAATGGTATTCATTGATCGCCTCTTTTTGGTCTTCTTCGAGCTGTTCTTGATCTTGATTCTTTTTTTTGGCATCTCTTTAGCTGTGGCTTGCATTATGCTTTGGTTGTACTTGTGTTTAAGTATCCTAGCTCTTGCTCTTGTCATTGGTCCACTATGAATGGTTGGAACTTCAATGTCTTGTAGTTGTGGTTCGATTCAGTCTGGTTCAGCTTAGATGCCCTCATCATTCCCTCCCCCTTGAAGAGGTTTTGACCTCAAAACTGGTTCATATGCAATATAAGGAGATAAATCAGTCACATTGAAAGTTAAGGATACATTAAACTCACCTGGTAGTTCAAGCTTGTAGGCATGGTTATTGATCTTTTCTAGGATCTTGAATCTTGAATGGGTCATATTCTCTTGGTCCTAGCTTAGAACTCCTCTGGTTTGGAAATCTCTCATGGCTCATGTGCAGCCACACCCATTCTCCTAGTTCAAACACCATTTTTTGTGGCCTTTGTTAGCATGTTTCTCATACTAACCGATTCACTTCTCCAAGTTTTCCTTTGATTTTTGGTGAAGCTTCTTGGCATACTCGGCCTTCTTTTCTCTATATAAACTCACTGCTTCAGCTGGTGGTAGTGGAGTTAGTTCTAGTGGAGTGGTGGGGTTGAACCCATAGACAGTCTTGAATGAAGACATCTTTGTGGCTGAGTGTTGAGCCTGTTTGTATGCAAACTCAATGAAAGGAATACAATCCAGCCAGTTCTTCAAGTTCTTTCTGATTGTAACTCGAAGTAAAGCAGATAGTGTCCTGTTTACCACCTTAGTTTGGCCATCTGTTTGGGGAGGACAAGTTATGGAAAACAAGAGCTTGGTTCCAAGATTCTTCCACAGTGTTCTCCAAAAGTTGTTCAATAACTTGTTGTCTCGGTCAGATACAATGGTTCTTGGTACTCCATGCAGCCAAACTATCTATTTGAATTATAGATATACCCGTGGTTTAATATCCATCATTCACCTTGGCAAAAGGTATAAAGTGTGTCATCTTAGAGAATCTGTCCACCACAACAAAAATGGAGTCTTTGTCGTTGATCTTTGGCAATCCCAGCACAAAATCCATGGAAATTGGCCCAAGGTGCCGTAGAGATGGGCAGGGGTATATATAACCCGTGAGGATGCATTCTTGACTTAGCTTTCTTGCACAACACACATCTTGCACAATGAGATTCTACGGTCTTCTTGAGATGCGGCCAGTAGAAGTTTCAATAAACTCCATTCATCGGGCGTGTCTTTTCTTGAGATGGGTCTGCCTTCAGAGATGCTTAAGTGTTTCATGGTCTGTGTGGACCACAAACTCTCTCGAAAACAAAACAATATTGCTAAGTCTCTAAAGCTTTCATAGATATAGAATTTTCCATGAGATCCTTTGCTACACCCTCAAAGCTCTCTCCTAGCTCTGGATCATCTTTGTAGAGGTCTTTTATGAATTTAAAACCCATAACTTTATCATCCATAGTTGCGATCAGTGCATATCTTCTATGTTATCTTTGTTCTTGTACATGATGATATATGAAAACTTTTCACCATCCATGTTCTGTGTGGACCATAGGTGTGTCTTCTCTTGAGATGGGTCTGTCTTCGGAGATGCTTAAGTGTTTCATGGTCAGTGAAGACCACATACTATCTTGACAACAAACAATGTTTCCAAGTCTCCAAATCCCGAACTAACGTAGCTCCTCCTAATTTCTCACTGAAAAATGCCACTAGTTCCCCCCCCCCCCTTTCTTGTGTCAACACAGCTCCTATACCAATCTCTGATGAATCACACCCACTTCAAATGTCATGTTGAAGTATGGCAAGATAAGAACTGGTGCATTGGTGAGTCTCTTCTGTATCAAAGGCAGTTTTTTGAACTTTTCCCCAAGTAAAACCCACACTCTTCTTCACTACAGTTTTAAGTGGCCCGACTATACTGCTGAAATCCTTGACAAAGCGTCGATAGAAGCTTGCCAACCATGTAAACTCCTTACATGGCTGATATTCGTTGAGCCAGCCATTCCTTGGTGGCTTTGGTCTCCTCTTCATCAACCTGTAAGCCCTGAAAACTCACAACAAAACCTAGAAAAACCAACTTATCAGTGCAGAATGTGCACTTCTTTACGTTTGCATAAAGGCCCTCTTGTCGAAGAGTCTTTAATACAAATTCAAGATGTAACAAATGACCAGTTAA